ATAATGATTCTTTTTCTGTGATCAATGATACGGTCAAACTAACGACGATATAATTTTTATTTTTGGTAATTTTGAACTTTAAACCTTAAATTTATTTTTAGATTTTAAGTTATCGAGATAATAAATTCTTTCTTTTAATTACCTAGATACGAACATGCACCATTATTCAAAACAAAAAAAACCTGGATATAACCAGTAGTAAATTCACTTTTTCGTATAACAATAATCCTTTTTATGGTATACGCATAGTAACATTAATACAGTTATCCTAATTAATATTCTTCGTATTCTTTACATTAAATCTAATCACATGACAACAATATGTATAGTGATAACGATCATATGTATATAGTTAATATATGTTGAAACGGAAAAATTTAATATTAAATATTAGTTTTAAATTTTTAAAAAATTTTATTATCATCAATTTTTCCAATTCGTTTTCGAATTCAAACATTTGCTTACGAGATTTGTTTCTTAGCCCTTTAGATTTTTCTATAATATCATATAATATTAGTTTGTGACATTTATATGGATAGAAAAAAACCAATAAATAACCTGATTTGTGACTTCTCCACCTATCAAAAAAACCCTTACATAAATAATAATCTGTTTGTGCGTGAGAAGCGTGTTTTTTTATATTATATAATAATGCTATTTATTATTTATTTATTATTTATTTATTTATTTTTTATGTTATATTGATTACCAATAAAGGATAATTTCACACGTGAAATCTATTTATGTAATTGATAAATAAAATTAATAAAAACAAATGACTATGAATTTTTCAAAACCAAGGTTTTAAAAAGCTTTACACAAAAAAATTTTTTTTTTTGGAAAAAAACCGAAAACAATACCATGTTATACGAACCCACGAATGTAGGAAGCAAATCTATACATTTTCGCTCTTTAACATCTTCTTTCATTTAGGAACAATTTCAAATAAATAAATAAATAAATAATAATCGCGCGATTCAAATCCTCTCGCCCATTACACTTTTTTTGTTTTCGAAACTTCTTTTAAAATTACCATTTTCGTCTTCCTATTGTTATCTATTGCTATTTATAATCTCGGATGTTAATATTTTTATTAAAAAAAAAACTATTTATTTATTTGTATGTAACCGCCACCATTCCCAATTAATATATATAATATGAACAAAATATAAATTGCCTTTTTTATTTATGTACCTATTGCGCATTATCTGTACGACAATTCAATAAAAATTCATTGTTATTTTATTTCTGAAATGGGTGAATTTGGCCTATTTTCCGAATATCAAACACA